TCAGCAGGATAATGTGGGGAAATGTATAATTGTTTAATCAATGGGAGATTTAAGTCTTTGGGAATGTCTTATGGCTCTGTGCTGATTGTAATTCATGCCGCTTATGTAGAAGGAGCCAGTGAACTAATTTTCCACTTCCTATCAGGCAGGATAGTAAAGGAGTCCCTTCAAACACATGGGTGAAGCTGGCTTAGGACAGGTGAAAGAGGAGACTGAAGTGGGACAGTTTGATCACTTATGCAAGCCAAATTGCATGGTTCTACCAAGCCCATATACATTCTCATTATTTTCTCATAGTTGGACTGAAAGCTTTCTCACTTATCACAATGTTTTACAGTGATTTATTAAAAGGACTCTAAATAATGTCATTCTTGTCCTTTTTTAATGTGTTGCTTTTCTCTGGTGTTTCTACTAACCTCTTCCTCTTTTTTACTTATTTGTGCCTAGTTATATGTGAACTCTGTGAAGTTAAAGACTTTTTCAGTGTTATGTAGAATTTTTAATGTTACAAAAATGCATGATTTTGAAAAAAAAAAAAAAAAAAAAAAAAAGTTGAGACCCAGGGATTCAAGGCCCCTTAGGTCTTGAAGCTTGCATGTTCTTTGGGTTTTTTTTTATTATGTAGATGCAATGGTGCACAACCTACAAAAATATTTACCACAGTTTATTTGTGTTAAGACAGTAAGAATGTAAGCTTTTTGCTCTCAGTAATTGCAAAGTCAGGCCTTGTGCAAACATAGACAGTGTTAATTATGACTTAGGTTAGCTAAAATCACCTGGACTGCGTTTACCTTATGGGACCCTGTTGAAAGCAGATGCTAGTATATGATCTTGATGTGACAGAGCAAGATGTCTAGACTTCACTAGCAGGAGATCAAACCCCCTCCAAAGCAGTAAGAGAATAATTTCCAACATTGTGTTAGGAAGAGTTTGAAGTTGCCATGATCAATATTTAATTTTAATCTTCTTAGCAGTGGCACAGTTCTCAAGGCTGTGAACCTGTCCCTGCTCAGCCAACCTGAGCTGAGATGCTGCAATTCTGAATTAATCACTCCTGACTCATTCTCGTAGGTGTACCTTTGTGTCACCAATCTGTTGTAAGAAGCTGAAATATTTCTTGGAGGGGGAACGTGCATGGGCTTCTTAAAACCAGCAGCTAAACAGCTGGAATAGGAGCAGAGGAGAATTTTTATTTTATATCAGTAAGACCAAATTCTGGGAAGAGCATTTCAGCTTAAAGCAGAGGATGAAAGTCTGCCCCATGAAGTCCCTGGCAGAAATCCTTAGGACCTCAGTGGACTGAGATTTCATCCAGTGCTTTCATGTACAGTTCAGAGAAGAGTGTTGAAACAAACTCTTGTTTCTTTCTCTTTAGCAGCTGCTGAAGATGTGAACAAAAGGACTTGATTAACTTAAAGGGGAGTAAATTTAGAACAGAACAGAAAAACATTTTTCATACACCATAAATGCAGCCTAAGTTCACAGCTATGTTGAGATAAATAGCATGTCTGATTTGTAGGGACTGTATAGCTCCGTTTACCACAGTTGGAGTGACACAAGCTAAGATTATTATAAAGATAAATAAAATCGTCATCTGGAACTGTCAGCAAGAAGTGTCCTTCAAATGTATGCTGCAGTACACAACTGGCGAGATGAACTGGGAGCACAGTATTTGTCCCTGGTGCCACCGGGGCAGGGAGTGGAGCACACGGGTGAGAAAAGGTGGGCTGGTTCAGAAAGCACACTTCTGCAGCCTGCCCTGAAGTGCCATGAGGAGGTCCTTCCTCAGCGTGACCTTGCTCACCCTTGAGTGACTTTTGGATTTTTAGTTCCTCTTTTGCCTTGGTTGCCTCCTCTAAAATTAGAGCTCTAGTTTAGTGAAGTGTTGTCCCTCAGCAGAAACAGGAGGCTAGACGAGACAGAGCAGCTCCATATTGCTGGGTGCTAATCAGCCAAGCTCTGCTGGGGACGTACATCCTCTTTAGAGTAGAGTGAAGGTGAATAGGAGCAATGAGGAGCAGGAGCACAAGGCAACATGGAAATTTAACTCTCCCTCAATTTGAGGTTTCACCAGGAGCAGGCAGCTGGCAACATAAGGTCTTTTGGGAACATTTTTGTAGATATTAAAATCATATGGTGGTTCTGGATAAATATTAAAGACAAGGGAGTACATTTCATAGAATAGAATCATAGAATCGTTTAGGTTGGAAAAGACCTTTAAGATCATCCAGTCCAACCATTAACCTACACTACCAAGTCTACTCTAAACCAACCAAGGGTAGACTAGACTAAACCATGTCCCGAAGTGCCACATCTACCCGTTTTTTGAACGCTTCCAGGGATGGGGACTCCACCACCTCTCTGGGCAGCCTGTTCCAATTCTTGACCACCCTTTCCGTGTAGAATTTTTTCCTAATTTCCAACCTAAACCTCCCCTGGCGCAGCTTAAGCCCATTTCCTCTTGTAAAATTTATATTTATTTATATTTTATATTTATTTATACACTCATTGATGAGACTTAATGTTTACACTATTGATAAGTGATAACATTTACAAAATCTAGACTGGCTGGGGGCTTGACTGAGAAATACCTGGCTTAGGTTCAGTGCAGGCAGTGCAAAGGTTGTGTGTACAAGCTGCAGGAAATGGACACCGTCGTCTTTACGGAGTCTGGGCTTGTTTGTGCTCCTGCAAGCTCGTACCCCTGCTTGCAGCAATTTATCGAAAAATTGTTGCCCTTACTTTATTTCAGGAGTTTGCTACAATTACCCAGATAGTGTAGTCCCTGCATAAAAATGCGGTTTTCGTAAAAATGTTTTACACATGTTAGTGTAATCAAAACAAGTATATTTTTACTGCATAAATTAACTGGACATGGCAAATCTTTAGCTTCACCTAGGGTTTGCCTAAGACATTTAAAGTATTTAAAACCTTGCCTAAATAAAAATTGAACTTTCTAGTAATAGACTGTTTTAAAAGTCACCTGTTATGTAGTGCTGATGGGGTATTGTTGGAAGGGAGCTTCCTCGTGGATGCCTACAGCAACCAGTGGCACAGACAATTCCCAGTTCTTCCTCAGAGGCAATGGAAAGGGTTGATGCTGAACTGTGATGCTGGTTGCTTCATGACTATCTTGTAAATTAGTTCGCTCTCTGCTGTCTTACACGATCAGTTAAGGCTAGAGATAACACTGACCATGAAACTGTGATTCATGCAAAATAGGAAATGCCATAATGAGTGGAAACCAGTATTCTCTGGAATAAATGTCTGTCTGCTTCAAAGCTCTGTAGTGGTGGTATCTAGCATTACATGCCTGTTAAATTTGGTTGCAGGTACTGTTTTTACAAGTGTTTTGGAGGATCATTCTTTATTAGGAGTAAAACCAGAAAAAAGTACAGGATGACTTCTGAAGGAAGACTAACTGGACAGATGTGTCAAGCACAGTGCAGGAATATTTCTGTGCCAAGCAAACAGCTAGTTCAGGCTTCCCGAGTAATTCTGAGATCTGCAGGATTTTCTGAACACCATTTAATTTAGCTTTTTATGACGTGGCTAAGTGTGCAGTTTTACAAGGTTTGATGCTATGTAGAATATTTTTGTTCTGGAGGATTGTGCTTGTATTTTCTGTCATCAAAATTGTCTGCCCACCCTAGAGCTAATATCTCTACTATGTCCATAAGGATGTAGATGATATCTGACAAACGTTGTCCTGCAGAGATGTGGCCTGGAGTTTTGAGAGGGACAGCTGTGGCCCAGTGCTGTTCAAAATGGGTAAGATTTGCATCTAGTACAAAGTCTACTGCAGCTATAATGGCAACACACTGTTTTACTGTTTAATGGGATGGAGTGGAAAAATGTATTTTTAAAATAAACATAGAGATGTTACTGTTGCTGTAAATTAGTATCCCTAATAAGGTCATCTGAGTTTGCTTTTCTGATGAGAAGCAAAATTAATTTGTCATCTCCAAGTCTGATTTTCTGTTTGTTTTCATTTATACAACCCCCATTACAGAAATCAGGCCCCAGTCTTCATTACAGGTATTGTTAGCTCTCTTATAGGAAAGTTAACATCACCTTTTAGAGAAGAACAACCGAGGCGCCAAAGGAGTAAGAGACACCTTTGTAAGGGGAATAATGTGTTTATCTGCCTACCAAGGTGCCTAAATCCAACATAGAGGTCCCACTTACACTCACAAGGCACTGTGAAATCCTAAATCCTCGTACAGCAGTACCTGTGTTTCTGGTCTTGGCCTCTGCAGTTCACTAAGCAGGGCCAGGACGCGGTCTGGAGCACTGTTCCATCTCGTCTGTGGGGTTCAGTGTCAGCCGGCATCCCGAGAGCGTTTTCATCCCAGGCACAGTCTGGGGGACAGCAGGAGCCTGTGACTGGTCACAGGAGGCTGTGTGGAGAAGGCCCCTTTCTTCTGGGAGAAACAGCTGTGGTGATGATCTCCTGCCCTCCTGGCTCTGCTTTCCTGCTTACATGGTCAGAGGTAAGGCAAATCATGGTCAGCTGAGGTTTTCAGAGTGACCATGGCCTGCTTCCTCCTTTACCTGGGACACCAAGACAGTTTGCGGCTGCTCCTACCACGAAGGGCAGGCGACCGAAGGGCAGGTGACCCCTCTCAGCAGCAGCCGCCGTCACCCCCACCCCTCCTGTCATTCCTCTGCCACCAGCATCTTGTTCCCCAGTTCCTCAGCCCCCACAGCGCTCGCCCCAAATCATCACCTTCCTTTTGCAGGGTGGGAGCAGCCAGTGCTGCTCGTCCTTAGTGTGGCAAAATTTGGCAAAATTGGGTTTTTCCTAAACTGCTGAGGAGCCCTGAACCAACATTGTCACATGCGTAAAGTAAAGCACACACATGCTTTATTGCAGAATTAATGGCTGATTCTTTTTAGAGCCTCCAACTGTAATTTAATTGCTAACTACCTTCTCAAGTCTCCCAGGACTGCTTTTTTAATCCATTAAGTGTACAATTTGCAGTAAAGGAGAACTTGTGGAATTATCCATGTGCCTTTGGCCATTTTCAAAAATAAGTTAAGCCAAACAAATTACCATGTTCCCTTGGCTCACATTAATGGTAGGAGACATGTGAGACTCGGGGGGGGGCGGGGAAGGGTTCTGTGCATGTGACACTGAGATGGCGAGAAGAGTGTATTAATCATTTTTGCTGTCACTACACATTTAAGTGGGCCAAGGAGACAAGGGGCAAAAGGTGGCCCGTGCAGTAGTCTCTGCAAGTTAACACACTTGATTTCTTAGGAACAAAGTTGCCTGGCTAGAGCTACCTTCCCTGTGTTCAGACCCTGACAAATCTTCCCCTGGCAGTTTAAGACATTATAGAATCATAGAATCGTTTAGGTTGGAAAAGACCTTTAAGATCATCCAGTCCAACCATTAACCTACACTACCAAGTCTACTCTAAGCCAATCAAGGGTAGACTAGACTAAACCATGTCCCCAGGTGCCACATCTACCCGTTTTTTGAGCGCTTCCAGGGATGGGGACTCCACCACCTCTATCATCCCATCTGTCCTCCCTAACCTTCCGTGAAAGGATAAATTCTCCTGAAGCGAATGCATCTCAAGACAGCAAACTGAACTGGAGCAGGGACGTGCATTGCCTTCAGCCGACTCTGCTGTGTTACAACCGTGCTGTGCCGCGGCTGGGGCGGAGGCAGTGGTGCTGGGCACCACTTGGTTTCCCCAAAGCTCATTTGCTGTAACCTGACTGCAGAGGAAATTTCAGCTCAGCTACCACCACGGATCACAGCTGTGGCAGTATTTCACAGGAGGGGAAGCTGTTCTGTTATGTTTGCAAACGGGAAAATAAACTGACGGAGTTTATGGATTAATTTACTGGGTGCTAAAATATACTGTGATACTGTGAACAGAACCTACATTCAGAAGGGATAATTCTGCAGAATGTGAATGGGGGTATCTGGCTATTTTTGAAAGTGCCCATTCAGTATTCATTTTGGTAAATAGGACTACACTCAGAAAAAATCATATTCTTAATTAGAATAAACTATATATGATTTTTGTTTTGAGACTATCCAAAAGCATTGGACTCCACTGTGGAGTAATAATGGTCTCCTCACATACTGTTTTGAAAATCCATGTCATGTCTCAGTCACCAGAGCAGGAAAATACTGATGAAGAGTGTGTGCCAGTGTGCATGTATATATGTATCTCCTACCAGAAAATATGCACATACCAATATATTACAAATATATTACAATATTTTGTAATCGTTATTTATGAAGGCCAAATTATTTTGTTCCTAAATTTATTGAAAAATATTCCTTTTTTCATTTGTTGTTCAAGGGTCAGATATCAATTTGGAACAGTTCATGGTACCTAATCATACAAGGGTGCATAGGTTGACTCTGTTTTTCCTTTGTCTGTGAATCTCAAATGGCTACTTCTCCTTTAATTTTGAAGAGGACATTTATGTATTAAAATGATTGAATACTGAATCTTATCTTAGCTGCTGCTACAAAAATGAAAGCCAAACAGAAAGTGATATATTACTCTCAAAAAATGTCTTTCTGTAGTGCCAAAAAGTCAGGATTTTGTTTAATCTCTGTTGTTATTCTTCTGAAGAGAGGGAAAATAAATAATACAATAATAAAATATACAGCATGTCACTAAACAGTTAGTTTTAGTCTTTAGCTTCTGTTGTCTTTGTAGAGAAATGACATTAAAGTTCCTTTCTCTTTTATGACAGATCTGAGCTGTCTTGCTTACATTACATTATTAAAAAAATAAATCACTTGCAGTTTTATGTAGACATACCATAGTGTCTATAACTATTTGTCTATGAATATTTGCGTCCATGTAAGTAAAGTGAAATGTAAAACTTGGATGCAATCCTTAAATATATCGAAGTAATAAACTGGTATTGTGTGTTGTGGGCAATAAAGCACAAACATGCATGAAGTACACCCTCGGCAAATAAAGCAGGGTACTCTGTATACTCAAAATAATGGTTTCTCTTCCAGGATGTGTATTAGATGGCAGTTAGTATGAAGGAAGTATTTAAAAAGAAGGGACTAAGCAGAAACTAAGAGCAGGAGAAGGGAGAATGCTATGAAGAACAGACAAGAAGGGGAAATGTGTCACTGTAACAAAAGCATTTGTAGAAAGTTACTTTGAACATGAAATAGAGACTACATGAGCAGTCCTGTATGTTGTGGAGTGGGAGTGGTTGGGTTTTTTTCATTCTTTTGTTTGGGAAAAATTCTACAGTAATTTCTCCTTTTTAAGACATTAAAATTAGCAGCGATCACAAAAATGTCAGAAGTTGTTGACACATGTATGAGTAAATCTCTTGTAAGATCTGGGCCAGGCACGATATACATGTACATGTTTTTTAGCTTTAGTTATACATCTATATCTATATCCATCTAACTCCCTATCTGTCTAGCTATATTCATCTTTTATGACCCAAACACAGCTGCAAGTAAGTATTGGCTAATGAACTGTGGATTGCAATGATCAAAATATCTTTTTCTGTTTTGACTTATGCCTTTTGGAAAACAGTGACTGAGAGGCATATTTGGTTAGTTAAAGCAATAAGCAACTGAACCTGCAGTTGTAGAGCACCGTTTTGGCTCACATGGCAAAGTCTGTCATGAGATATTTGAGCTAGAGAGCATTGACTTAGTTAGAGATGTGGTATCACCGTGCTATCTGTACTAACTGCTGACACTGTTGCTGGAAAACAGCAATCAAATCTTGTGTTTGCAAGCTAAAAGAGATGTTGGAAAATGAGAAAGGTAAGATTTACAAGAATAATTCAAGGCCTGAGAAAATTCAATGTATTTATGTAATTCTCAAGAAGGTTGGGAAGTTGTTTAGACATGTTCTCTGTAGGATATTCATCTTGTCCAATTGAGATCTCTACAGTGTAACTTTCTACATCTGAGCTAGTTATCTAGACTTCTGTGACAGTCAGTGAATTGAAAAATTTCCCCTGTGCTATTCATCTCAACTTGAAATAGTCATTAAAATATGTCATACAATATTTCTGAAAGTGGTTTTTTACTTTCAGTTGGCTCTAAAGCAAGTCTAGAGAAGTAACTCAGTTGTAAAAATTGGTAATGTAGATGTCCAAGGCAACCAAGGTGAGACAAATCCTAGTCTTTGAACATTCAGGGCAAGTAGATGCCTGATAAAAAAGTGTTGTTAATCTACCAGAAAAAAACGTAACAAGATGCAACCAAACTATTGATGCTCACAGATGTGTAGCTGGGATGTAGAACTATTTATCTCGTGTTAGGTCAAACAGCAAGTTACGTTCTTTCTTCTTTTCTTTTCTAGAATGATTACAAGAAATTGTCTATGCAATGCAAGGATTTTGTAGTTGGACTCCTTGATTTGTGCAGAAATACAGAAGAAGTGGAAGCTATTTTGAATGGTGATGTAGAGATGAGCCATAATAATGGAGAACATGGTCGCCCCAGCCTTAGCCGCTTAAAACTCGCCATTAAGTATGAAGTTAAAAAAGTAAGCAATTATGTTGATCAAACAGACATGTCACGCTAGTGGTATTAAATTGTTACATGTTTATGTTTTGGTAGCTTCTGACACTTAAATGAACATTTGGGCCCTTCTGCACAGTGCATTTTACAAACAAAAGAATCCTTACCCCAACTAGCTTGCAATATAAAGAATGAGCAGATGTTCAGGGTGGATACTGTTCACAGTGAGTATGAGAGCAAATGGCTCTAAAAATGTGTAGCTATATGCAAAATTTGTAGATATTTACTTGTTCTTATTTTTAATCTATTTTTTTAAAAAAGATGGAAGAAATTCTGCAGCCTGGAAAAGTATAAGTTTTAATGAAAACCAGAGGATAGCACAGAAGTCCTGTGCACTGCATGATAACAAATACTGATACACATTTTTGTCAAGCTGTTGTGTCTTTCTTAGAAAGTTGAGAAAACAGTGAAATTGTGTGTCTCAGAAAATGCGTATTTGTCTGTATAGACGATCAGAGACACAATCTAGGAGTAATAGTACTGTGGTTCTTACTTCGGAAGAACAGTGTGCTCCAGGCAGTGTCGAATACAGGAGTTATCATCCATTCTTTGGATTACTTTCATTTCTACTGTCAGTTTAATACTCTGGTCTGCATCTTAAAAGTGCTCAGTGAAACCAGCTGAATTGGTAGCTGCACCAAGACCTTTGAATTACCCAAAAAACTTCTCTTGGATAATATGGGTTGTAAAGTTCTAGGTGATGTGTGTGAACCAGGGAGAAATTATTTGTATGATGAAGTTCGTACAAGTGAAGATCAAGAAGGTACAGCTCAGGAATATACTTCAAAGGCAGGTTACCATAAAGTAGAGCTATCTCCTGGCAGAGCAGCAAGACCTTTGATGAAACTTTTCCTACACAATGAAATGGATCAGATCAACACTGTGAAAATAAACAGTATCTTGTTTTAACAAAAAAAAAAAAAAAGGGAGTCAGGACTCTTAAAAATCCATTATGGGCTGAATACACAGATCTAATTTATCAGGGGAGAGCTGCAGATTTTTTACAAAAATTGAGTTCACATCTCTGGGGGCACCTGAAACGTTTATATGTGAGGAATATTCATGTGTTCATGAAGGAAAGAAAAAAAGAAAACCATTTTGACTGAAGAGCACCTACCAGCATATGATCACAAACCTGCAAAACACTTGGCAAGCTATGGTCACTAAAGAGAGCTGAAACAACTTTTGAAGAGATCACATTGACCTCGTCCTTCATAGTATTTGAGTCTTAATCCTTGCTTGGATGTGAACTTTCTTTCAACACTTTCTCTTGCCTGAATAAAGATATTTCTTGCACCTTCAGCCAATTGTCCTTTAAATATAGAGAACTATTCAGGAAGAAAATTACTAGATTCAGTTAAATGTTTAATTCAATTTCCAGGTCTAGACTTAAAAATTTATGGTGCACAAGAATCCACTGTTTATTAATATCTACCTTTGTAAGATGCTTCTTATACTCTCCAGAGGTATGACAGAAAAGAGGGTTATAGGCCAAACTTCTCAGTTTTGCAGAGTCTGTCCAAAAGATTCCAGAACCAAGTTATAAATATTGATATAAATTATATACCAGTCTGTAGCTGATTTCCTGCAAAAGTGGCAGCTGTTTTCTTATGCCAGCTGAAAAAAATGGTATTTTCCGTCTTAGCATACGAAAACATGGCATATTCTTTCTTTCATAACTAAAGACTATGCAGCATCCTTTGCAGAACAGAAAGACTTAAAGTTTTGGAATTTCTGAAGTAACATGAAGATTATAAATGTCAGAAACAAGTAGAGTTTGCCCAGATAAAGTTTATGTTTAATTACCCTTAGATGGAAATTAATAGTTTGTGATGGAACACAGTGTCAGTAAAATAATAGTTTTTGAAATGAAAGGATTTATTGTTGCTGATAGCAACATGCCTGCATGAGATTATGCTCATCAAAAAACTTTTTCTCGTACCCTTGTTAATGCTCCTTTGAATATAAGCTGAGTTGTTGCTATTCCCACATTCTTAATGCGCTTCATATAGCTGTTATTTTAATAAAAGATATTCTGACAGCAATATTATTTTGTTGTGCTCCTTTTCTTTGTTACAGTTTGTAGCACATCCAAACTGCCAGCAACAACTTCTCTCAATCTGGTATGAGAATTTGTCAGGTTTACGGCAGCAGACCATGGCAGTGAAGTTTCTGGTTGTTCTTGCTGTTGCGGTGGGACTGCCATTCCTTTCAGTGGCTTACTGGATTGCTCCTTGCAGTAAGGTCGGTCTGTGAAATCTTGTAATGGCTTTTTATTAACTCCTGTATCATCTGTATGTCAATTCCTGTCTGGCAACGGTGAAGCATGAGTATAAATTACTAACATGCTTTAATACTTCAGAAATGTGTTATTTTAAAGTTGAGTTAGAATGGAATAGCTGCAAGATTGCATGTTCTGACAATTGTAATTAAGACAGGTAAACGTATTGTGTTAAGTGCAATGTATGTTAAATTAAGTTACAATGGCTGAGCAAGAGTTGCCTTTTAGAAATTGTACTTTAGAAACAATGAGTCAAACTATTCTTCATTTAGTTGTTGCCTTAGTAGGCAGAGGCAGAGGATCCACATTGATTCAGAGCTAGACTAAGTTCAAGCTGTGTGTTGATTCCAGTTACCTCAAAGGCAATTTTATTTTTGATGATTTAAAATTAATAGATAAAAGTCACTGAAACATGAATGCCAGAAATTAAAACAATCATCATCAGTTTTCTAGAAGTCAAAGTGAACTGTGTTGGCTTGTCAAGACAGTGCTAATACTCATTATATTTCATGAGGTTTTTAAAGTAGTCATGCAGCCTCCCCTGCATCCATTTATAATGCACTGCCTGCATTTGGATGCTCCCACTGTATCTGTTTTGGATGATACATAGTTTGGAAAGCCTTTCCACTGAAGATGGGTTCCAATCTCTGACCTCTCTGAACTTTGTGTTGAATCTCTGTTTTAGTTGATCACTATGGATTTTAAATGGACACTGGTGGAAGATTTCCCTTGAGAGTATGTTAGAGGGAACAAATGGGATCCTGTAAGGATTACTCAACAGGTTACAGTATAACATCCATGATTTTAGCAGGTCGAATCCTGTGCACATACAATGATTCCAGGGGAAGAGGAAGGTTGAAAGAGAGGACTGAGGTCTTTGTGGGTTTTTTAAATTGTTCTCTGAGAGGAGAAAGGTGGGCCTTTTTTGTTTTGCCATATTTTTCATTTCTTTCCGTCTGGACAATCAAAATCAGTTATATCATTTTCACTTTTCTGTATAGTGACTAGGATTTTTATGAATCCTTTTGTCTTAAAACATACCTTGAGATTCAACATACTTCAGTGATTGGTTTTCAACTATAGCATTGACTTACCTATTTGTCATTTTCCTTTTTCAATGATTTATTAGATCTTAAAGTAATTTTGAACCATTGTACATACTGGAAAAGCTATTTCAGAGTAGCTTTTAAAGTCAACGTTCAAGGGATTACATCCTTTAAGGTTTCAGTTCCTCTGTTGCTATTTAATCACCTCATCGTGTGATTTATATGTTGAATGCTTTTTGATTCATTATATTCTGCAAATGTAAAATCTAATCCACCTTTTTCACCAGTTGCCATTTCTTACCTTGTGCTTCACTCATTCTTCAAAATTTGATTCTTCTGTTTTTTGAAGACAAAAATGTTCACTGTTTAATTTCAGGATAGGATGGCTCCAACACAGAACATGATCTGTATCAACAGAGTCCATTCTGTGTATGAATTGATGGAATTTTATAAATCTCTTCTGCTCTTACTGAGATAAAGTACCCATTCTTTTTCCAGGTGTGGCAGTGTAGGGCACAGTGACAGAAGAGAGAGAAAACACTCACAGTATTTGTGGTGAAAATAACAGCTTGCAGTGGAGTTATTCTGACACATTTCTTTATATTCTCATGCCATGGCTCTGAGAAAGGCAAAAATGTCTTTATGACATGTCCACGTCTCAGTCAGTTACCTGTATAGTTGACCAGTTTCCTCTTTAGGAGAAAGTTAATTTGAGCTTGGACTACAGATTCTGAATTGAGAGTTTCTGATCTGGAAGAAATTTCATAGAAATACATGGACAAAGTCCTGTTGATTTGGCAGGAATTCACTAGTATCAGATGCCAAAAGGACTTAAGATTGCCTCTTATTTGAGTTTCAGCCAGCAATCCACATGGAGGAACTTCAAAGTTTTGTGAACTGTTTACTCTGCATTTCTAATTGGTAATTCAGTCTAACTACTGACATAATTAACCCAAAACTTCTGGAATACTATTTTATTACATGACATTTTCAAAGAGTAAAACCTTTTTTCCATTATCTCCAAGAATCTCTAATGTCTGTGCTGTTCAGTTCTAATTAATAATAGAATTTAGATTTTTAGCTTTATGAATTCATAAGTAATTCAGTCAGCCCCTGGCCAAGTTGAGGTATCTGAATTTGAAATAGAGTTGTCTTTTGCTGTTGCCAGCGACCTGGGGTTGGCATTTCAAAAGAAGTAACTTGATAAGTCCCTACATGCTTTCTAGAAGCATGTTCTGAGGGTTATACACATTCCTGTTTTGCATTGTGGTAGAGGAAAAGAAATTGAACATTATGTCCTGTATATGAGGAACTAAGAAATTGTTCTTCCTAAAAAAGTATATGCATTGTCTCATTCTTGTTATCAGGCCTTTTCGCCTTTGTGATAGATGTGCTACCTGGAGTCCTATTTTATCATTTCTTTAGCAATTCCATACGCCATAATGTTACAATACTGATTGTTTCTTCAGAGTCACAAAGGTGGAATAATGTGAATCACTGACTCCAGTCCCCAGCGATTTCAGGTGACACTATACACAGACAAATACACGTCAAAGTATCCTCAGTATAACTATTGTGTATCTTGTCCTAACCCAAACCAACCTATAAAACACTCTCCAAAACTCTATAGCAAACCAAAGACCATAGCACAGAGGATCAGAAAACAGAAAAAAACCCCAAACCAAAACCACTTAAATTACAGGAAGAGATCAGAGCATTTAGAAGATCATGTCCTTGGTCTGTGTAACAGGAGGGAATTTATTATGTCAAAAATGACAGTGAAAGTGAATTAAGGAGGGACTTTATCTTATAGAAAAGTCCAAACTTGCAAGATTATGGCTTTGTCTTTGCATATTGCTCTTTCTTTCCCTGATTCTTATTTTCTGACTTACATCTTCTCCATAAAGAGATTTGGAATTTTAAAAGTGTCACTTCAAGATTTTGTTGGATCACTGTTACATGACAATGTCATAATGACTTCCAGCATTTGTGTAATCAGTTCAGCTGTAGTCAGTCCTGCTTCCAGGGAGATTTTACTGTATATATATATGTAAAAAATACTTTTCTGTCTCTTTTGAAGGGGTGGAAGCAGGGATGCTAGGAGCTCAGTGTTTTAAATTTTATATTTTTTGATCAAGGGATATATTAACATTACCTCCTTCCGTATTTTTTCTTATTTTCTGGCTATATCTTTTTCTGGCATCTGTCTCCTAATCTGTCTTCGTTTGTGAACACACGAATAATGCATTTAAAAGGACACTGTCAAGGTACTTTATAATTTTCTGGCTCTGCTTTATTGTGTGTTGTTTATGACTGTTCCTTCCTAGCTTGAAATAAAATCTTTCCCCATGACGATTACCTGTTCTCTTTGTAGTTCATGCAAAATAATTGGTTGTTGAAGTTAATCTCATGAGGCTGACAGAATATTTTATTTAATAAAAGATAAACTAATGTTATTGAGTGAGAAACATAATGAATGGCATGGGTTTGCAAAATCATATAAAGGAGAAAGAAGATCAAATTTTGTGCCTGCTAACCTTGACAGTGTTCCTTTAACAGTATCTTCTTTTTACATTTGTCTAGTTTTCTTGATGTTATCTGTATTTGAGACCTTACCATCGCATCCTCGGCTGCATCCTCTTAGTCTATGTTTCTGTAAAAGCTGTCTGTAAGGACAGCAAAATTCTGACTTTGATATTGAAACAAGTGTAGCAAAAATACGAATACTAATAACTTATTTTTCTGCTTTCCCCTCCCTTTTCCAGATAACAGATTGTTATATGTTTCAGCTGAGATCCGTGACACTTGCTTTCAATTCTTTCCAAGGAATTTTTGTCAGATACAGATACTGTCTTCATCTAAAATAAAAAATATTTTTCTGCAGCTGCCAAATAAGGGAACAAGCTAAGACTTTTACTATTAATACAGGCACTCTCAAAAATAAGTAATTGCTAAAAGTTCAGCCTTGTGTGAGTTTGTATGGAACTTTTAGGTTTTTTTAAGTGTTGCACTAAACCATTTTAATGTTCTTAGTCATGACAAAGTTGAGGACATTTCCATTAAAGGAGTCAGGAAGGAAATTAAGACACTACAGAACTATAAACATAACCTTTTGAGGCCTGATGACTGGCCTGATGACTTTCTTTAAAAAAAGAAAATAAGTTGGGCTAAATTGAGTATCATTTCAGTCAGGAAACAGAATTCTTTAGTCATAATTCACTCCTGGTGATAATTTAATGCTTTTAGTAAGTGTCAAAATCTCATTTTCTTTGTTGCCTCATAAAGATGACTAGCATGTAAGAAATTCAACAGCTATAATAAATTTTTCTCTTGATTATCTATAAGAGACATAGGTGCCCCAAAATAATTACAGAATTATTTCAAAACACTAAGTTAAAAATGTATATATGCTGAAACCAATAGATTATCCCTCTGAAGATAGCAAATAAGTAGAAACTTTTAAAGGTGACTGTCAGTATGGCATCATAGTATACAGCTTTTTCCAAGTATTTGTTCCTTGTGTGTTATTGAAATATATATTTCTCTGTGTTACTGTTGGTTTTATACATTTTTATTTTGGAAGAAGGCAATGCAATATCCTTGTGTTTCACAACCTCTGTTGCAGCTGGGGAGGATAATGCGTGGACCATTCATGAAGTTTGTAGCCCATGCAGCCTCTTTCACCATTTTTCTTGGTCTGCTTGTCATGAATGCAGCTGACAGATTTGATGGCACCAAACTCCGACCTAATGAAACAACAGACAATGTAAAACAGCTATTTAGGATGAAAACATCCTGTTTCTCATGGATGGAGATGCTCATTATTTCTTGGGTAATAGGTAAAGAATAATTTTCGCTTAAATTTGTCTTGCTATGATTTCAGTGAAGCTGGACCCTTTGCTATTAAAGTTATGTGTAAAAAACACAACAAAGGGAGTTTATTGAGCTGGCTGCATTCCCACATTGGCCTCATGTTTCTTACTGGATGTCAGCAGGATTCACATGTGCCTGGTTAATCACAAACATTCAGGTTAAGGACTGAGGTGAAATCTACCTCATCTGAATATGAATGAATTCGGTTTTATGAATATCAAAGGGAAGTGTCTACCAGTTTTCTGGGTTTTTTTGAGTCAGGCTGTGTCAACTCCCAAGGGGAAAGATTTCCACACCATGGGCCAAGTTTTTTTGTGTCCAGTTGTCTCTTTCTGCTAATATTCTCTTATTTTGCAAGTATGCCTGCAGAATTAGTAGTATATAGTGTATTATTGACAAAAGAGAAACAGAATATAGACCCCTGAACATTCAGCAGTAGATTTTTCCATCCCAACATAGGGATGAAATGGATACTATGAGTGGTACTCTGAGCTGACCCATTCAATTTGGTGATGCAGTACTAGTCAGCATGAGAACTTGAGCACAAACCCTCAAAAATATTTTAGCTGTCTGATTCTTAATTACAAGTCTAATAACATTTATTCCAAAGGGGTTTAGATGTCCAAATATTTTAAAGATCTGGGTTCTGGTTGTTAGTTAAGTCAGTAATAAGGGAGAGTTAAATTCAAGCTAAGTAAAATCTGTTTCCATTCAAGAGCTTATGCATTTAAAATATTTTTCTTTTATGAGCTCTCTGATTGAAATTGGAGACATTTGTACACCAACTGATTCTTACAGCTTTAAAAGACGTTGACCATCTTTATTTATTTCATCATATAGCTGTACATAAATTAATATAATTGTGTATTATGGGAATAATATGGCACTTAGATTTCCAAATATTCTATGAATATCAGTGTTTTCATCTGATAATAAAGGAGTAAATAATAATTTTCCAATTTGAAGTGCTTGTTTGCTAATTTACTCTATTTTTATTTTTTTCAGTGTCATGTATAAGATGGTTTATGAAAAATTAATTCAATGCATACAGATGTAGCATTGAATTTAATTACTGTAATTAACATTATAATTGTCCTTATCTGAAAATGATAAGAAGTTCCTTCAGATAATTTGATAAATGCAAAAAATAGTGACATTATTCCGATTCAGTTTTTTATTAATTCTCTTCAGAATCCTAGAAATGTAGTTCATGATTAAATAAATGGTATCTTGAAAAGAAAGTGCATTTGCTCAATAAAAAAGATGCCATAAGCTATTACTGTACTCCTATATTTTATTATTAAGGGGGAATAATTAGGAATCAAACAGATACCTTTGCTCTATTGAAGAAGCATTAGGTCTGATTCTTACTTTCATGCTCATTTGTCACGTATATGTGCAATTTCCATAAAATAGACTGTCCCGAGGGTACTCTGCAAATAAGAAAATGTAAGTTCTGCTATTAGTTCCCCCACTATATGATCATGCCAGAGCCTTTTTTCCTCTTTCAGTCTCTTTCTGTGTCTGTAACAGATGGTAATACTCACATCCTATTCTTCTCTTTGAAAGCTTTTGTAGCTGTACGGGAAAAAGCAGTATGAAAGATTGTTATTATTACTCACGTGAGAAAGAAGTACTGGAATGTCTATGAATTGGCAGGTTCAAGAATTTTAGTTAGTGTTCGAACTCCCACTAACCAAAATGGTTTTGAGTTTGACTGCAACCAAGAGCATATCCTATACATAATAAAATATCAAATAAAACAAACGTGAAGATAAAAGAACACACTGTTTTCTCTGTTCTGTCTTATACAGGCATGATATGGTCTGAATGTAAAGAAATTTGGTCTCAAGGTCCAAAGGAATACCTTTTTGAGTTATGGAATATGCTTGATTTTGGTATGTTAGCAATTTTTGCAGCATCATTCATAGCAAGGTTTATGGCATTTTGGCATGCATCCAGAGCCCAGAGCATCGTTGATACAAATATGAAAGATCTGACAAGTCCAACACTGGACCCCAACATAAAATACTACACCTTGGGTGAGTTGATTGCACATGATTAAGACTTACTTCTTGGGCCAAGATGAATTGATATGCTGTTAATAAGTCTCCAATACTTTAGTTCCACAATGTACTGCTTAAGAAGTTCCCAGCCCTTCTTCTCTGTCTTATCCCTACTATTTGATCACAGTTCCCTTGGCTATGCTCATACATCTCTTCAGGGACTGTTCTAGACATAAGGCACTGAAATGATCTAAGATCAAAATGACCCCACTGTCACCCCACCCCTTTTCAAGATTATTTTAATCCAGGTCATTTAATCTGTTTAGTTACGCAATCCTACCCTGCAAACACTTGTGTTGGCACAACTGCAAATGTGATCTACTGTAATGCAGGGGCAGACCTAAGCAAGATGCAGGAACTTTTTAAACCTGCTTTGCCAACATAACCAATGTATCTTTTATATATTCTTTGCTCAGAAACTGTTGTATTATTTTAATATTTCTCAATCCACTCTCTTTACCAGTAAGAGAGAAAAATGTTAATAAACTCGCTTGACATATATGGGAAATGACTAGAAGCTATTTTGCCCAAATGAGAAAAAATAAAGCTCTGTTTACTTGTGTTCACTCCCAACACCAACACATCTCTCTTCCCTTTATTAGATGTTTTTCTCTAGATACTGAATTATATCAGTTTCTATCTCTATTCTATGCCTGAAATACTATTTCTGATAAGGTTGCATTTCTTCATTATCCAAGCTGTAGAGAAAGCAATTAATATCTATATTCTGAAACCCATTAGATAGTAGTCTTATAAATTTTGCTGGAAAGTTACAAATTTCACATAAGTTATAAAAGCAGCTAGTTAAATATTAATTCAGTTGTCAGTAAAACCCACTTGAAGAATTTGCAAACAGGTGCTGTTTATGTTCACAGTTTCTGGGTATGACAAGCACAAGTCTTGTAACTCATTTATGCTGTATAATACTGTATCATCTAGCAAGGCAGTTTCTGTTGACATCAGTCATGAGTTGTGACTTTGTTACGCGCTTAAGCAGAGTTGAGTTATTTTTTAGTGTATGGAATCATAGAATCATTTAGGTTGGAAAACACTTTTAAGATCATCGAGTCCGATTGTTCACCTAACACTGCCAAGTCCACCACTAAACCATGTCCCTAAACCATGTCCCTAATGTCCTAAAGTCAACCACTTGCCTGGGCAGCCTGTTCCAATGCTTGACAACCCTTTCTATGAAGAAATTCTTCCTAATATCCAATCTAAACCTCCCCGGCACAACTTGAGGCCATTTCCTCTCATCCTATCACTTGTTACTGGGGAAAAGAGACCAACACCGACCTTGCTACAACCTCCTTTCAGGTAGCTGTAGAGAGTGATAAGGTCTCCCCTGAGCCTCCTTTTCTTCAGGCTAAACAACACCAGTTCCCTCAGCCGCTCCTCATAAGACCTGTGCTCCACACCCTTCACCAGCCTTGTTGCCCTTCTCTGGACACGCTCCAGCACCTCAATGTCTTTCTTGTAGTGAGGGGCCCAAAACTGGACACAGTATTCCAGGTGCGGCCTCACCAGTGCCAAGTACAGGGGGACAATCACCTCCCTGCTCCTGCTGGCCACACTATTCCTGATACAAGCCAGGATGCTGTTGGCCTTCTTGGCCACCTGGGCACACTGCCAGTGCATACTCAGCCAGCTGTCAACCAGCAACCCCAGGTCCTTTTCAGCCAGGCAGCTTTCCAGCCACTCTTCCCCAAGCCTGTAGCGTTGCATGGTGTTGTTGTGACCCAAGTGCAGAACCTGGCAATTAGCCTTGTTGAACAATTGGCCTCAGACCATCGATCCAGCCTGTCCAGATCTCTCTGTAGAGCCCTTCTACCCCCATGTACACTGAAGTCTGCTTGGAGGACATCTATTTATGGTCATACTAACATGGATAATATTAATAGTGAATATTTAATGCCAGAGGTTTTATCATAGGCTAGCAAACATAACTTGGTGTACACCAGGTTGAACATGAGCCAGCAAAGGGCCCTTGCGGCAGAGAAGGCCAACGGTGTCATGGGCTGCAATTAGGCAAAGCATTGCCAATGGGTCGAGGGAGGTGATCCTTCCTCTCTACTCAGCACTGGTGAGGCCACACCTGGAGTCCTGTGTCCAGTTCTGGGCTCCCCAGTACAAGAGAAACACGGACATAGTGGACAGAAGGGCCTATAAAGGGTCACAAAGATAATGAAGGGTCTGGAGCATCTCTTCTATAAGGAAAGGCTGAGAGAGCTGGGACTGTTGAGCCTGGAGAAGAGAAGGCTCAGGAGGGATCTCCTCAATGTGTATAAATACCTGAAGGGAGAGTGCAAAGAGGACGGAGCCAGGCTCTTTTCAGTGGTGCCCAGTGAGAGGACCAGAGGCAATGGGCACAAACTGAAACACAGGAGGTTCCCTCTGAACATCAGGAAACAACTTTTTACTGTGAGGGTGACCGAGCACTGGCACAGGTTCCCCAGTAGGGTGGTGGAGTCTCCATCCTTGGAGATATTCAAATGCCGTTTGGACATGATCTTGGGCACCCAGCTCTAGGTGGCCCTGCTTGAGCAGGGGTATTGGACCAGATGACCTTGAGAGGTCCCTTCCCACCTCAAACTTTTGTGATAATATAGCTCATCTGGAAACCTAAAAGGCATCTGGCTACTAGCCCATACTGAAACATCTGCCATCTTTGGTTTTAGTTATCCATGAAATCTGAGGTAAAGCTAACATAGGTATGTCTGCTTATGTGAAAACATGGAGTCTTTTGCCATACATTTTCTCATTTGAATATAGTGTGTAGTAGGCTTTACAGTGAGGAGCTCAATAAACGAAAGAATATGCACATAACTACAAGAAACACACGGCAGCTAAGGCGGCAATGAATATGTGCTAACTGAGCCTTGGTATGCCTAAAACCAAAGTCATTGATTGTCATGAGGCATGAATACTGGCATGGCAGTAAGTTCCTTGAAGAATATAATTTTCTGATACATTATTGAATGGTTATTTGTGAGTTAACATCTCAAATTAGTATTTTTTCCAAATGCCAGTGATTGTCTTCATTGCAGTATAAATTGTTTGTTTCATTTTTTGGCATTTACAGTAGAATAAACACAGATGACAACACTCTCCTGGGATGTAGGAAACACATCTTGGGTTAACCTCTTCTCTTTGCCTGAAGCACAGTAGTGAATTGAATTTAAGCCTCCCACCTCATGGGAGAATGCCTTAATCTCCAGCTAGGAGGTATCCTGAATGGTATTGCTTTGGATTTCTCCTTCTGACACTTTTCTGTAAATAGTTCTCTAAGTACAAGTTTGAACCTGAATGTTCCCCTCTTCAGTTGAATGTGTTCCCAATCAAACAGCAGTGTCAAGTTCACTCATGATCCAGAGGATGTTCAAGTAATTCACACAAGTGGATTAGCTTCAACAGAAGAGATTGATAGAAATGATGATAGAAAAGGTGATGGAAATGGGTGTTCGGTGAATATCAGGAAAAGGCCATTACCATTTCACTGATGGCCTAAATAGAAAAGGTAGAGAAACATTGTTTGCACAGTTTTGGAGTTGTGGATGGCAGATGGTTAATGATTCCAGATCCCCACATTGAAACAGCTCATTTGGATAGCTCAAACAAATCACGTTTCTAATTTAATTTATTCAGTTTTTATCACCTTACACTATAAGCTGAATTTTACGTAAAATATCTACTAGGTTGGGATTCAAATCCCAAAAAGTTACTTCAGTGATCTAACAGCTCACCTTTATAATCAAGGGAGATCTAGTTAATACAGTCAGTGGGGCTGTGAAATGGTTTTAGTGCTACCAGGCTCAATTAAATTAGCCAAACATAAGTGACTAGTGCCATTTGAATTGCCAAGGTGCTGCTCCAAAAAGACTTCACACAGATCTGTACAAAGAATCTTGGATACCCTGGACATCTCAAATGGCAATGGATGTCTTTGTTCAGGTGTCTGAATCAAGCCCCAAGCACTCACTAGTCTGCATGATTATACCTCCCTTTTGGATAGCTCTCTAGACATTTTAATCTCAAACTGAAGCCCACTCATGGTTTCTTCTAATTAAAATCACAGTTCTGATGAAGGTGTAAAAAGAAGAGAGTAAAACGTAAGTAAAAAAATGAAATGCTTCTCCAGCCCTAGCACAGTAGATGAAATAATATCCCGCTTTTGTTTCAGTCTTAACAAGGTATCTTCCTTTCTTTCACTTTTATTTCTAGCAGCACCTTCATGCAAGACATTCGCTGAGCACTGTGATGTAGTGGACAACCACTACTGGCACTATTTGAGCAGTCATACTTGGCACATAGAAGCCCAGGTTAATACCTAAGTATTCACAGCTCTCAGTGAGGAAGTAGATTTTCTATGTGTGTTTTAAGTTTGAAAGGGTAGAAAGTAACTTGATCCTTACTTTTAGACAACAAAGTCTTAGAATTTTGCTGCAAGTGAAAATTGCTGAAAATTCGTGATGCAATGTACAATAAAGGAAAAAAAACCCATGAAGACTGCATCTTATCTGTTCTGAATTTGCATAGCACCATTGGATTCAATTCCAGTTTACAATGACTGGTTCATTGTTACTCACCAAAAGAGAGTACTTCAGTGAACAGCCTGAGGTGGACCTTGAAATACTGACCAAAATTCTCATCTTTTGTTTCTAGCCAGAGTAAACTGGGATCCATCTGATCCTCAGATCATATCTGAAGGCCTGTATGCAATTGCAGTAGTATTAAGTTTCTCCAGAATAGCCTACATCTTACCAGCTAATGAAAGCTTTGGACCACTGCAGATATCACTTGGCAGAACTGTGAAAGACATCTTCAAGTTCATGGTGATATTCATCATGGTGTTTGTGGCTTTCATGATAGGCATGTTTAATCTCTATTCGTACTATCTGGGGGCAAAACAAAATGAAGCATTCACAACGTAAGTACAATTGATTAAACTGTAATGATTGTGGGCTATTGTTATGGAAAGTCAGTTGCTTGCATTGTATGTATTAAGTTTGCTAATTGTTCTGTAAGGTTTGCATCTCTTAAAAATTTCTTCATCTTGGATTAAGTAGTAATTTTCTCTCTTGTTCTGGTGCTTAAAGGATATATTTGAAATCAGAGGGTGGCCTCTTGATACCAACACTACTATGATAAATCAGGAAAGACAGGCTGGGAAGGTGAGACGTAGTT